GTGCCGCGGAGCGGCTGGTCCCGTGAGCCATGGCCGCTGGGCCTGCGCGTCCGGAGCCTGTGCTCCGCAACGGGAGAGGCCGCAGCAGTGAGAGGCCCACGTATCGCAAAAAAAAAAAAAAAAAAAAAAAAAAAAAGAGAGATGTAATAGTTTTATTTTTAAATGTCTATAATTACAGTATGCCAGAAGTTAAATCCTTTGGAACTGTAAAACTTATGAGGAAACATTTTAGATATCAGCTTAAAGTGTCTGAAGAGGTAGAGAGTTCTTTCTTTAAAAATATGTAGGTGGTATTGGATCAAAAGAGTTTGAGGGTCACTGTGTAGCAACTGAGGAGTCTCCTGAGGTGTTCTGATGTGACATCGAATGCTCTGGGTATTTTATCCATTTAATAGTGCTGTGGCACTGCAATTTGCTAATTTTTTCTCAGTTATTTAAAAATAATATTCACTGAACCAAGTGGTTAAATACAATCAGATGAAATGACAGCTGCACAACTTTGAGTCTCAGGGAAATATACGACTGACATCAAATGAAAGCTGAGACAGCACCGAGAACATTTTCTGGGAGAAACATTTTAAGGTTCCTTTCTGCATCTTTTCATTAATCATGGAATCCATTTTTTCTGGGCTTTTCCTGTAACATCCTCCTTATCGTTCATTCTTTCCTTCCATCTGCCTTCTCTTTAGAAGAAAGCATAATTAAACCAATTGAAAAACTATCATGCAATGAAAGTTTTCCTGAAAAATTACAGGACTCACAAGGTAATTTCTGGGCCTTGTAGATGAGTACAATTTGTTCTTTGAATCTCCTGTCCAATTTTCTTCTCGACATCTACCCCAAATCTTGTCATAAAAGGCCACTACGAAGGCCAAGGTCACCTGCTTTTAGGGGTCAGATCAGGATTCGGGCAGACAGAAGCGTTCACACCACCAAGAACCTCTTTCTTCAGTAGTTGGAATTCTAAGAGTAATTAGCTCTCAAAAGGCTCTATGCTTGTCTTCTTAAATTAATTATGACAAATTAAAATCAAGCAAATCTATTAAAAATAATTAAAAGAATATTTTCTAATTTTATAATCAATATTCCTGGAAATTTTTTTTTAAGTTCTGAGACTCATTTCTGAGCATGAACCGTCATTTAAAAGAAAAAGTTAACCAAGTTCATAGAGATGATGGATTTCCTAGAATTTTGCTATCAGTGGTTTAAACAGTGCTAACTATTGGCTCCAACCTAAAAATTTGCAGCTCACAAGGTACTTCAAATGAAAAGCCAAAATAATTTAAGAAGACTTAATTTTCTATGCATTTTCCCTTAGCAACTTCCTCCTCCAATAGGAAGCATCCTATTGGAGTGCCTGGGTTTTAGAGCCTGACGTGTCCCTGTTCAGTCACGCACTAGCCTTGCGATCTTGGACAAGTTACTTGGGTCCTCTAAGTCAGTTTCCCCACCTGTAAGACAGAGGAAATACTACTGACCGAGGCATTATTATACAACCACCCCTAGGATTTTTGTCACACAATAAGCATTTAATAAGTGTTTGCTCTGATGATGGGGATGAGGGTGGGAGAGATCTTTTTTTATTTTGGCCATGCCACGTGGCACGTGGGATCTTAGTTCCCTGACCGGGGATCGAACCCGCGCCCCCTGCATTGGAAGTGCAGAGTCTTAACCACTGGATCACCATGGATGTCCCGGGAGATATGTTCTCAGGCTGCTACTGAATGGGATTACTGCCTTGAACTTTCAAAAAGTCTTTTGAAGTAAAGGGCTGATTCGTGAATTAGAACGAGTACCTCAAGGTGAAAAGAAAGGACAAACGAGGCAGCGATGCCTACGGAAAATTCAGCAGTGTTAAAAATTGTATGGACTGATAACGTGTTTACCGTGGAACATCCTTTAGGGTCTGATAAATAATATTGCCGTTTGACATTTGTTGGTCCAGGAGCAAACACTTACTGAGTGCCTGCTATGCACAGCACCGTGACAGACGTCAGGGACACAGGAAGGCAGAGTCCAGCCTTGGGGTCAAACGACACCATGTGAAAATAAGCTTCAGTCGTAGCTGCCAGATGAATGGCTCTTTGAAACCAAGGTGGTCAGAGCCCTGATTCACCTTCTCGCTGACAAACCTGTCCCTTTTCTGGTGTAGCCAGGCTCCTTAAAAGAGAAGTTACATTCATTTTACCTCTGATTTCTACTTTACCCCTCAGCTCACTGCAGTCTGTCCTCAGCTTGCCTCGGGCCGCTGAAACAGCTCCTGCCGCGGCCTGTCCTGCTAGTGGCCAAATCCCAGGGCGGTGCCAACCCCACCAGACCTCTGCCTTATTTGCTACTCCTTCCTTGTCACACGCTGTCTTCTCTGGAGCTTCCAGACCCTATTCCTACCGTCTACCTCTCCACGCTCTCCCCAGCAGGGTCCTTTTCTTTTCTCCCCCTTAGTGCTCTGTTCCCTGGGTTCTGTTCTATTCTGGGTCTTTGCACATCCACAGTCCCTCCGAGCTGCTCCTCCAAGCCCATGGCGCCATCAGCGCCATGCCCTGATCATTCCAGATCTCCAGGCCTGCTGGACCTCTGTGACTTGAATCTCCCATGGGCACCAGGTCTTTACCCCACACCTGATTCTTCCCCTGTATCCTGTTCTCAGTCACCTACGCTACAGACGTGGGGGTTTATGTTACTCTCTTTCCCACCCCTCCCATCCCATACACCTGCTGGTTCCCTCCTCCATCCCTCCATGACCGTCTAAGTTCAGACTCTCTTACTTCCTCTCTCAGCTACAAGCAGTGCCCTCCTGACTGGTCCCCTGCCTTTACATTTCCCCCCAGATTGATCACTCACTAACAGCGATGAGGATGGTGACAGCTGACACGTGTTGGGACGGCAGATCCTATGCTAAGTGCTTTGCATTCATCTCATTCAATCCCTACACCAACCCCTATGAGAACAGGTGCACTTATCAGGGTGATTTTACAAGACGAAGAAGTGCTCAGAGAGCACCGCAGGGATGGGGGCTTCCTGGCAGGAAATATACTTTCAGGCTGAAAAGTGGAGTCATAAAAACCTGGGCACATTCAGGGGGACACCTTGGGTTCATATTCTAATTTGGTGACTTACTAACTGCAAGAAGTTAGCCAAGTCAGATGTGGATAGTAACATGCACCTAAGAGGGTTGTTATATGGACTGAATGGGAACATCTGTAAAACCGTCGTGTGCCGTGCATGAAATACAGACGATGCCCCCCAAAACAGAATTTAGAATTAGTAGTGGTTGTGATCAAAGTTACTCTCCGGTGCTTTAAAGTATTGACTTCTGACTCTGAAACTTTATGATACGTCACTAGGAAATCTTGGAAGTCGTGCTACTTACAATCAGTCAGGATATATTCCTTCCTTTCTCAAAAAAGAAGTGGGGTCAGCTGGCCAGAGGATACACTTAGCAGCACCTGGCGCGACAGCTTCAGGTAAGAACAAGTTCAGATACAGTTTTTGAGAATCTGATCAGAAGGAGCTTTTCAAAGCTTATACAAGTCACCTTTCCTGAGTGAAGACTTTTAAATTAGTCTCAGCTATTAACTAAAGTTCTAACTGTTTTTGGCAAAATGTCCCATTTTTCTCCCAAAGATGTGGTTTGAGAGTCTAATAAGATGAGCTACCTCTGATTCAGTGGTTTTTCTCGGTCGGACACACAGATGGTGCCACTGAATCCTCCCAATGACCTGATGAGGTAGATCTTTTACAGATGAGGAAACTGACATTGAGTAATTTACCTAGGGTCACACACGACGAGATGTGCGAGGATGCACTTTTCAGAGCTTCCTGCCTGGTACCTGGCACAGAGCGGAAAGTGCAACAGATGCTGAGACTCCGTTATCTATCAGTTAATGGGTAGTCCTTCTGCAGTTCCATCTTAGGGTTTAGAACTAAACTGCGGCAGAACTTTGACTGGCTTTTGCTCTGTAATATATTAGGTGGTGACGTTTTATTCCCCACCCTCCGACGCTATGACTAATTAGGTCACCTGCTCTGCAGTGGCGTGGCGTGTGACAGCCACATTCAGGGGGACGTTCTTGAAACTGAGGTGAGGATTCTGTACTTGAGTTGACCAGATCTGACTATGAATGTTCTCTTAAGTTATTTCACTCTAAAATAGATATCCTTCTTAAAGCACCTAAAATAAACATTGAGGCAGATAATTACACGTTTGATAAGATATCTAGTTACAGTTTAATTTAAAAGTTGACTTCAAAAGTCTTCTCCCAGTCTGTTCCGGCCAGGATCTTATATTATAGAACTCCTGATTAGAGTTACCAGTCTTTAAAGTTCATGCTCTTAGAGCTAAAATTGTAAAAAGCACTGGACTTCCGTAATTTTTTATTTCTTACCATGGTAGAACTGCTTAAGCAGCACTCAGTTACCTTATCTGCGAAAAGAACCGCTTCATTATCTCTCTGCTGAAACAAAATATATAAATAAACATTTTATAGACAGCAGTAATTTTTATAAAGCCTTAAATACTTTAGGGCAGCCTTATGAGTCATTAGCCATGGCTTGGTAACAATTTTTAATATGAAGGCAGAAAATCATAACTCTCAAATTACTTTGAGTACCTGCTCTTAGAAAGTGAAAGTGGGTATTTTTGAACATATTTTTATAAGGGATTGGAGGCCTTTATATATTAATTATTCTGTCAGATTAGCATGCATATTCCTGTTTTCATTTTTTTAAGTAAAATGCTTTCTCATAACTTTTCATCTCTTCATTTTACTCTGCTTATCAGATTTTCCTACAGATCGTGATAGGAGAAAAGGTTAAAAAAAAAAGTAAATATTAATCATTCTCAAGTGGTCAATGCAAATCCTTAGGAAAACACTGTTCTGTAAGAGATGTGTCTTCCAGCCCTCCCACTGGTGTGACAGTTTCCCACAAGAGAATACAACCAGGTCATTACCGTATTTACTCAACTATTTCCCCTTCTCTCAGCCTCCCTCTCTACTCCTCTTCCTCATCCTCAAGTCTGGAGAAGAAAAATCACATTAATTTCTTCCTCCCTCCCCATGTCATCTATCAACCCAAACCCCCTCATACCTCCTTGTCCCCTGCTAGAGGAGTGACTTCTTTCAGACACAGCTGCCCTTGAGAAGCACGGGGCCCTGTTCTACGTGCTTTACATGCATTAACTCACTGAACCCTCTCCCAATGGCTCTAAGACAGAAGGTATCATCACTGTCTCCATTTTACAGAAGCTTTCTATCTTGCTAAGTTATAGAGCAGTGGCATGGATTACATTCTCAACTAGAGGCAAACACCTTTTCCTGCAGCAAACATCTCCTACTAGAAGCTAATTGCCCTTGATAGGACACATGCAGGGTTTAAAAGAAATGCACAGCAAGTGTTAGAGGGCTGCCAGCTCTGTTCTGGGGAGTGGTGAGGTGTGGGCACAGCCAGCTGCTGAACAAAGCGTTTCTTTGCCCCACACGAGACCTGGGCTCCTTTGTCAGCTACTAAGTTCTTCACCAAGGGTGCTGCAGTCCTAAAACTCTGTTATTTCTCAGAAAGGAATCCTAAATGTCAACACTACCGCCTTACTGGCAAAATGATTCCCTTTTCAAAGAAGGTTTTACAAATGTTGGCCTGGACACAGTTTCCTTCAAGTGCATTTAGGACTTGACTTAGACTATGTCATCATTTGGAAAAAAAGCTTCTCTGGATGTTACTCCCCAGACGCCTCACTTCTCACCCACTGTTAGCTTAAGAATGGGTTTCCCCTTCCCCTTTCTCTCAGTCCCGCGGACTTACTGTCTCCTCCCTCCTGCCCCCCCACCTCCCATGTGCTCTCCTCTGCCCCGGGCACCATTCTGATGTGAGTGCACTAATTTACCTGACTGATGCTGGTCTATGTTCCAGTGGGTTATGACGAAAGGGCTATTCCTAGAAAATATGGTGCACTTAACTGGCCCTTCTAGACACTGTCCCTGTCTTTGTTAAGGAGCTTTTTATTGGCTTTGAGAACTTTAAACCCAGTAAGAGTGGGATGAAATGACCCGTCAAACCAAGGAAGAACTCTTGGCCTCCTTGTCCCAACTGAACCACAAAGCAGTTGGGGTGACTGTCACCAGGGAAGCTCCTCACGTAAGGCTTTGTTCCCTTTAAGCTGAGGTTAGCAATACATCAGGACCCAGGTGTTCCCATAAGTTCCTCCTATACTTCCAATTCCACAGTAAAAATAGAAGAAAAAACTGGGAAAACCATGCCAATAAATATAGTATAGCTAGTGTTAGGTGTACAGAATGGTTAGAGCCATTTCAAAGTGACTCCTACAGAGTGTAATCCAAGAATGACAGCTACCACATAGTGTGAAAAGATATTTAAATCCTAAACAGAAAGACGGAACATCAGAGAGAATAGCTCTGATACCTAGCTCCCAGTTTGAAGTGAGGAAGGGGTGAAAGGAGGGACTGAGGATATTAAAGTTTTCTCTGAAATGATTTACTGCTTTGTCATTTGACACGTTCAAGCAATCTGAGCTTATAAATTGTTCAGGTAACAAATGTCTAACACTTTAAAATTTTCACAAAATTTTAATCAGCCAATACATGTATGAATAAAACAAACCTTGTGATGAAAGGTTTGGGATCCTAAGAATGGCTCACTTTTCAAAGGGATTCTGTTATCATCCATCGATTTCCCAATAAAACATGAAGTTTCTTGACTCCTAAAACCACATTTTCATGTTTAAAGAGAAACCTGCTATGTGACCCCATCTGTGTGGCTCCATGAAGCCAGAGTTTTACAGGATTCACAATTCTGAATACATTTTCTGTAGTGATACTGTGTTCAGGTATTATTTACATGTAACCACAGTGTGATGTTAAACAGTCACTGACACTGTGGGTACTGCCCATTGAACTTAAACCATGGAGTTGTTCTTGGTCATCCAAGTTGGCATTGCCTATCAAAATATGATGGGCACTGCAGTGAGCCCAAAGAAGAAACAGTAGCAGTGTCACAACAATAAACCAGAAATTATGGCTCCTAAGCTGCTGAAAACGCTAACTGGTGTCAGCATAATACTACAATAGAATTTCTGGCTTATGTGTATATATATATATATATTTAAAAACCTTAGAGACCACTGAATTAAGCTTTTAAAGACAGATTCAGATTTTCGGACCTCCCTGGTGGCGCAGTGGTTAAGGATCCGCCTGCCAACGCAGGGGACACGGGTTCGAGCCCTGGTCTGGGAAGATCCCACAAGCCGCGGAGCAACTAAGCCCGTGTGCCACAACTACTGAGCCTGCGTGTGCAGTGAGAAGCCCGGGCACTGCAACGAAGAGCAGCCCCCGCTCGCCGCAACTAGAGAGAAAGCCCGCACGCAGCAATGAAGACCCAACACAGCCAAAAATAATTTTTTTAAAAAAAGATAAATTCAGATTTCCCCCCATAAAATGAACTGCTTTATTTTGAATTTAATTATCATCTGAATAAAATTCTAATTTCTGATTCTGCTTTCTTTCAGAATATCCCTGGAACACAAAAACTGGTCAGGGGCAGTTTTCAGGACCTACTTATAATCCTACAGCCAAGAATCTAAATATTGTGAACCGTGCACAGCCAGTCTCCTCCGTGCACGGGAGGACAGACTGGGTGGCCAAGTACGGAGGCCACCGATAGGAGTCTGGTGTGAAGTCCCACAGCATCGCTCCAGAGTCCATGCAAGTCCCCTGACCCCGGGAAATGTCTACAGATGTCTATTTCTACTGAGTTCTGGAAGAAATATGTAATAGTGGGTACTCTGAAGAGCAAAACTCATCTCCTGTTTTCTTTCTTTCCTAGAAATGAAATGCATTTTCTGAGCATCATTGCCCACAGTGCTGATATATGGGTAGGACTTTACGAAGTATTGAATAAACTATTTGCCAAAGTGTCAAGTATTTGATATACAAATTAATAGATACTAAGTACAGTAAGAAGCTTTTTTTAAAAAATGCCTCCAGAAATAAGTGTTTATAGTGTTTTATATGTGCCCAAACTATTTAACATTTCATTGTTTAGCCTCAGAGGTTTGTTTTGTTTTGGGCTTTTATAGCAATTACATAGATGTCTGTGGACTGTCAGTTATGGTTCTTATTTGGCCAAGTTTCTACTCTACCATTTTGGCAATGGCAGAAAGATGGTAAGTTATCATTTTTCTACTGTGGAATTATGGAAGCAATGATAATTCTAATCTAAAGCAGGACATCTTTCTTAGAAATAAATATTTCTTTAACATAGAGCTGTCAAAATCACATCACATGATTTTAGTGAAGAAATAGTCGATTGTTCGGTTTTGATCAATACAACTGCTACGAATTCGTGGTGACTATCAAACCCAATGGCTTGATGACTTCCAAATTAACCAAGTCCAGGTTCTGTCATCTTCACATCAAATGTGTTCATCAGCCTTTCAGAATACACTGTTTCTGCATTCCCACGAGGCACAACGATGAAGCACACCAGCTTGTTCCCCCAAGCAAGCTCTTACTGCTGCTGCAGACAGATCACTGACTCAGCTCTGACCTTCACACTTGCTCTGAAGAGCAAATGCATTCAGTTGCTATCGCAGTGATTTCACTTACTACATGTTTTCTTAGTTTTATTTCTAAATTGGTAGTTAAGATAGACATTTTGAACTTAGGACTACTCTATTCAAGCCTGTCATTTTACGAACTAGATAGTCTTTTTAAAGAATAATGTTATCAAACTGCTTATTTTTTATGTATTTGATGACTCTGTAACAAATGCTAATGTAATTGGTATCATCTTGTGGACATTATACAAAAGCATAGTAAGAACATGGTATTTTTGTACAGAAGATTCAGCTCACCTTCTTGAAAAATGTTAAAATCTAAAGAGTAATTTATGTTAGTGGTAATGGTTATATATATATTTGTACAGTTTTAATTAATGTCTCAAAGCAAAAATATCTTTTGTGTTGCTGGGAAACTTTTAAACTCCAAATAGATATTAAAATTAATATGGTTAACTAGTGTGTTTTCCTTACATTGTTAAACTTTATACGTATACTCTGAGGCCTTTTTTTGTTGTTAATTAGTCAACGTTTTCTTTTTTTTCTTAGCAGTTTTAAGTTTACGGAAAATTTGATTGGAAAGTACAGAGTTTCCACGTACTCCCTAATCTCCCCCTTCCTCAATTTTCCCTATTATAAATATCTTGCATTAGTGTGGTACATTTGTCACAACTGATGAACCAGTATTGATTCATCGTTATTAACTAAAGGCCATAGGGTTCACGCTCTGTGTTGCACATTCTGTGGGTTTTGACAACATGTATAAAGACATGTATCCACCAATACAGTACCATACAAAAGTTTCACTGCCCTAAAGATCCTCTGTGCTCTACCCATTCATCCCTCCCTCCCTCCCTGCAAACCTCTGGCAACCACTGATCTTTTTTTATTATCTCCATAGTTTTTCCTTTTCCACAATGTCAAATAGTTGGAATTATGAAGTATACAGCCTTTTCAGTTTGGCTTCTTTCACTTAGTAATGTGCATTTAAAATTCCTCCCTGTCTTTTCTTGGCTTAATAGCTCATTTCTGTTTATCACTGAAGAGTATTCCATTGCCTATATGTATCCTAGTTTATTTATCCATTCACCAACTGAAGAACATTTTTGTTGTTTCCAAGTACGGGCAATTATGAATAAAGCTGCTATAAACATTCATGTACATGTTTTTGTGTGGACATCGGTTTTCACTTCACTTGATTAATTGCTGGATCGTATGGTAGGAGTATGTTTTGTAAGAAAGCACCACACTGCCTTCCCAAGTGCCGAAATGTGCTATTTCTCATTCCCACCAGCAGTGATGAGAGTTCCTGTTGCTCCACATTCTCACCAGCATTTGGTGTTGTCAGTGTTTTGGATTTTGGCTGTTCTAGTGTGTAGTAGTATCTTGTTATTTTAATTTGCGATTCCCTAATGACAAAGGATGTGAAGCATCTATTCACATGCTTATCTGCCATCTGCATATCTCCTTGCTGTCTATTCAGATCTTTTTTTTTTTTTTCTTTTTGCGGTACGCGGGCCTCTCACTGTTGTGGCCTCTCCCGTTGCGGAGCACAGGCTCCAGATGCACAGGCTCAGCAGCCATGGCTCACAGGCCCAGCCGCTCTGCGGCATGTGGGATCTTCCCGGACCAGGGCACGAACCCGTGTCCCCTGCATCGGCAGGCGGACTCTCAACCACTGCGCCACCAGGGAAGCCCTATTCAGATCTTTTGCCCATTTTTAAATTAGTTTGTTTTCGTATTGTTGAATTTAAACAGTTTCTTGTATATTTTGAATAACAGACCTTTATCAGGTTGTCTTCTGCAAAATCTTACCTCCAGTCCGTGACTTGTCTTTTCATTCTCTTAAGGTCTTCTGTAGAGCAAAAGTTTTTAATTTAAATGAAGCCCAGCTTACCAATTTTTTATTTTGTGGATCATGCTTCTGGGGTTGTATCTAAAAAGCCATCACCAAACCCAAGGTCACCTATGATTTTCTCCTATATTCTAGGAGTATTACAGTTTTGCATTTTACATTTAGATCTATCATCCATATTGAGTCAATTTTTCTGAAAGGTGTATCATCTGTTACAGATTCTTCTTCATGTTGATGTCATTTGTTGAAAAGACTGTTTTCTCCACTGAACTGCCTTTGCTAATCTGTCAAAGATCAGTTGACTGTATTTGTGTGCATCTATTTCTGGGCTCTCTATTCTGTTCCACTGATCTATGTGTCTATTCTCTCACCAATACCACACTGTCTTGATTACTGTAGCTTTATAGAAGTCACCTAAGTCAGTCCCGCAACTTTGTTTCTCTCCTTCAATATTGTGTTGGCTATTTTGGGTCTTTTACTGCTCCATATAAACTCTAGAATCAGTTTGTCAATATCCACAAAATAACTGGGATTTTTGACTCGGATTGCAGTGAACAAGCAATACAGATCAAGTTGGGAAGAACTGACATCTTGACACTCTTGGGTCTTCCCATCCATGTACAAGGACTGTTGATCTATTTTTTTACATCTTCTTGGACTTCTTTCATCAGTGTCTTGCCATTTTCCTCATATAGATCTTACACATATTTGTTGGATTTATACCTGTTTATTTTAGTGCTAATGCAATATTTAATTTCAAATTTGAATTGTTCATTGCTTGTAAATAAGAAAGCAAATGACTTTTCTATATTAAAGTTGTATCCTAATTCCTGTTATAATCACTTATTAAATCCAGGAGTTTCTTTGTTGATTCTTTGAAATTTTCTACATAGACAATCACGTCATCTGCAAACAAAAACAGCTTTATTCTTCATTCCCAATCAGCGTCCTTTTTATTTCCTTTTCTTTCTTATTGAACTAGCCAGGACTTCCAGTACAATGCCGAACAGAAGGGGTGGGAGTGAACATCCTTGCCTTGTTCCTGATCTTAGCAGGAAAACATCTAGTTTCTCCCCATTAAGAAAGATGTTAGCTGTAGGGTTTTTGGTATTTTTAAATAGATTTTCTTTATCAAGTTGAAGACATTCCTCCCTATTTTGCTGAGAGTTTTTATTATGAATGGTGTTAGATTCTGTCAAATACTTTTTGTGCATCTACTGATAATCACTGATCATACAATTTTTTTTTCTTTAGCTTGTTGATGTGATGGACTATATTAATTGATTTTCAAATGCTGAACCAGCTTTGTATACCTAAAATAAATCCCACTTGATCATATTATGTAATTCTCTGTATACATTGTTGGATTGGATTTGCTAATATCTTGTTGAGGATTTCTGCATCTATGTTCATATGTTTATATATATATATATATATATATATAGAGAGAGAGAGAGAGAGAGAGGGAGGGAGAGAGGGAGGGGGAGGGGGGGGGAGGGGG